ACTAAGACTTTCTTACTTGTAGAAAGCCAAGTGCTAAAACTTGTAATAGCATGTTTAACTAAGCTTTCTGCCTCTCACTTGGGAATGCTTTTGAAAGTATACAGCAATTAAAATTTGCAATGAATTTAATCTTTTAAACACTTTTTGCTTTTTATTGAGTCTCTCAAATGCTGAGCTTGCGTTGTTTCCAAGGAATAAAAGGTCAGCTTCAGGAATCCCTTAATAATATAGGTGTGCTTAGCCTTAGTGAATTCTTCTTTAATTACTTAAACACTACCATTTTTCTTCATGCTGTTGACATTATTTATTGCATATATATGAGAAAACATTCCAGGAATGATAAAAATCATAGATGCAGTTAATGGCATTCTTCAAATCAGTCCTGAGATGTGAGATGTTCAGAAGTTTATTTATCAGATTATAAACTTCAGGAAAATGTATGTGTACATTATGAATGATTATTTTAATCAGAGTTGTCATCAGATTTGTTTTATCTACTGATTACTTTTTCATGAGCCATCTAATTTCTAATAATTGTTTAGTGGACATTGTATCTGCTTGAAAATTATGTATGTATTACTCTGAGGAACTCAAGGCATAAAATTCATTTAAAAAATTAAAAACATGAATATCAGCACTTACACACTCACATACTTTTGTACTTGACAAAATTTAAAAATTTAAAGGAAATGGCAAATTTTCTGGATACATATCACTTGCCAAAATTAAATAAAGAACAGATAAACAATCTAAACAGACCTATAATCCCTAATGAAATAGAGGCAGTCATCAAAAGTCTCCCAACCAAAAAAAGCCTAGGCACAGATGACTTTAGTGCAGAATTCTAAAAGAAATTCAATGAAAATTTAATCCAATACTCCTCAAAGTGTTCCACACAATAGAAGCAGGAAGTTTGCTGCCAAACTCTTTTTACCAGGCTACAATTACCTTAGTAGCTAAGCCACACATAGACACAACTAAGAAATAGAACTGCAGACCAATTTCCCTCTTGAATATTGATGCAAAAGTACTCAATAAAATACTAGCATATCGAATCAAAGGACACATCAGAAAAATCATCCTCCATGATCAAGTAGGCTTCATCCCAGGGATGCAGGAATGGTTCAACATTAGAAAATCTATCAATGTAATCCACCATATAAACAAACTGCAAAGGAAAAGCCATATGATCATCTCACTAGATGCTGAAAAGTCCTTTGACAAAATCCAACACCCTTCATGATAAAGGTCCTAGAGAGATTAGGGATAACAGGAGAATACCTGATCATAATAAAAGCAATTTACAGTAAACCAACAGCTAACATCAAACTAAATGGAGAGAAACTCAACACAATTCCTCTAAAATCAGGAACAAGACAAGGCTGTCCACTCTCTCCATATCTCTTCAATATTGTGCTTAAAAGTCTAGCTAGAGCAATAAGACAACAAAAGGAGAACAAGGAAATTGGAAAGGAAGAAGCCAAAATTTCACTATCTGCAGATGATATGATAGTTTACATAAATGACCTGAAAAATTCTACCAGAGAATTCTCAATAGAGGAGTCTAAAATGGCTGACAGACACTTGAGAAAGTGCTCAACATACTTAGCCTTCAGGAAAATGCAAATCAAAACAACTCTGAGATACCATCTCACTCCTGTCAGAATGACTAAAATGAAAACCACTGATGACAATTTAAGCTGGAGAGGATTAGAGAAATGGGAACACTTCTCCACTGCTGGTGGTTGTGCCAACTCATTCAGTATAGAGATTCCTCAGAAAAATGGGAATCAGCCTCCAACAAGACCCAGCAAATCCAGTCTTAGGCATATAGCCAAATGATGTACACTCATACAATAAAGACACCCGTCCAACTATATTCATAGCAGTATTATTTATAATAGCCAGAACCTGGAAGCAACCTAGATGCCCCTCAACTGAAGGGTTGATAGAGAAAATGTGGTACATTTACACAATGGAGCACTACTTAGCAGAAAAAACTTGAAATCTTGAAATTTGCTGACAAATGGATGGCATTAGAAGAAACCATCCTAAGTGAGGTTACCCAGTCACAAAAAGACAAACATGGTATGTACAAACTCATATATGAATTTTAGACATGGAGCAGGCAATTCCTAGCCTACAATCCCACTGCCATCGAGTCTGGGAAGCAGGGAGAACCCTAAAAGAGATATGGATGGTAACCCAGAGAAGGGTTATGGGAACAGATTTCCTAATTGGATTGGGAGCCAGGGGGATGGAAGGGGAGAAGGAAATGTGAAAAAGAGAGGGGGAGAAGAGGTGGGTAGAGGAGGACACAGGAGAGCAGGCAGGTTGAGCCAGGGCAAGAATAGAGGAGATAAGGATGAGAGATAGCATAATAGAGGGAGCCATTATAAGTTGGAGGAGAGATCTGGCACTAATAAGATCTTCACAGATCTACAAAAATGACACCACCTGACATTAAGGCTACCCTAAATGACCTCTCCTGAAATGAGATTGATGACTACCTTATATGACATCCTAGAACCCTCATCCAGTGGCTGACAGGAGCAGAGGCAGACACCCACAGCTGAAAAACGAACTGAACTCCTGGAACCCAGTTGCTAAGAGGAGTGATGAGCAAAGGAATCAAGACCAGGCTGGTGACACCCAGAGAGGCAGCTGACCTAAACAAGGGGGAACACATGTACCCCAGACTGAGGACTCAGAGACCAACATGGAACTGATCCAGACACCGCCTCCCCCAACCTGGGTATCAGAGAAGAGGCCTCAGCAACTTATAAGACCTTGGAGAGTAGATCAGTATTCATTCCTGGCATACAAATAGACTCTGGGAGCCCATTTCATATGGAGGGATGCTCTCTTGGCCTGGACCCATGGGGGAGGACCTAGGCCCTACCCTGGATGATATGACAGACTCTGAAAATCCCTCATGGAAGGCCTTACCCTTCCTGGGGAGCAGAAGGGATATAGAATGGGATGGGGAGCTGGGAGGAAGGGAACAGAGTAATATGTGTAAAAAGTTAAATAAAAAATAAAGAAAGAAAAAAGATAACTATTTATTGTGTAAGGTACTTAAAGAGAAACTGGCAACCCAGGTTGGTCTCAGCAGCTTCGAGACTAGACTGGTATCCTGAGAAAGAGAGTGAGTACCTCCCCTCCCAGTCCTTTATTCCCATGTTTATATGCAACTGTAGCCATGCCCAAAGTGAGCATGTTCAGAGGCACAGGTATCTAATCTCTCCATACAGTATATATATTTGTATGAATCTTAAGTCAAGTGCTGAGAATTTAAATGAAAGCAAAAATTATGTTGAAATGTGGCCCCAATTTTAGGTCCTCAACACATTTATTAGCATTATGAAAGAACTTTGTAATAAAGAGTATGAAATTCCAATAAAATAATTGGCTTTAGAGAGAAATGGAGTTTCTATTCAGCCATTAAAATAAAACAGACTTTTTAAAAAGTTATTTAGAACTTTAAACTGAAAAGATACCAAAAAAGTTTACTTGAGAAAAATATAATGCGATTAACAAATAAAAGTGCTCCAAATTTGAATAAAGCTTGAAATTTTCTGGTTTACCCCAATATTCATGAGAAGAAATCCATCAAGGTATTAGAGGAAAACACTGAATACTCCCTGGCTTACTGCCAGCAGTATAGTATGAACTTTAAACTTGTCTGTTGGCAATATAAGTCAAGAAATTACTGAGGTGTTGTGTAGCATTAATAATTCACAGAGATATTAAGTAGCAGAGATGGACTCTCACACACCAGCCCTGGATAGTTTTTCCTGCACTCATGAGAAGAAGCTAAGACCCTTCCCAATGCTTTGGTGCATGAGACAGTTTGGTGTCATTATGTTGAGCAAATATATAAAGGGACATAAAAGAGACATACAGAGAGAAAGAGATGGAGAGAGAGACAGAGAGAGAGGGAAAGAGAGAGAGAGAGAGAGAGAGAGAGAGAGAGAGAGAGAGAGAGAGAGAGAGAGAGAGAGAGAGAGAGAGAGAGAGAGAGAGAGAGATTCATGATTCATGTCCTGTGGAAAGGACGAGATCTGTAGAGGTGAAGGTGGAAGGTGGTGAGGGAAAGGCTGATGAGGGAGGCCTGCTTTTCATCTGGTTCATGTTGACATTCAGTCCTTGGCCATTGACAGGGGCAATGCCTGGATCCATGGCCCTGGCATGGATCCTGTTACCACCAAAGGTTATGAAGCTCCTGGGGTTTTGTTGCCACATGTGGCCACATTTGTGCCCCAGGAACATGCCATCACAAAGGCCATCCTGATATGAATGGCCTGGACTGCCACCAATAGCCATGGAGACTTGCTTGTTTGAATCTTATTGAATGTCTGGATCTTTGACCCTATGGCAGCCAGAGTCTGTGTTGATATCCAAAGCTCCTGTTGCCATTGAGAATCAAATAGGTGCCTGGGGTCTAGGCCCTATCTGTGCCCACATTGGTGTCTGTAGGCCACCTTGCAGCTGGTGTGACACTGATATGAGTGGCCTTCACTGTCATCTAGGGCCATGGTGGCATCAGTACTGAGGGCTATGTCTGAGTCCATGGTCCTACTGCATCCAGGGTGTGTGTTGAAGCTCATGGACTGTGTCACCACCAAAGGCCATATGGATGTCCTGACTTTGGGACACAATCTGTGACCATGTTGGTGACGAAGGGCAATGCCATGGGTGGGCCATGCTGATCTAAGTCTGTATTTCAACCAGTGGTCAAGTCGTTGACCAGACACGAGCCACTGTCTGGTGCCATTTCTTAGTCTGTGACCCTACTATCCAGGGTCTATGTCAATGCCAGTGACTTCTGTTATCACACAAGGATATGCAGATGCCAGGATACAGGCTGACACCAGAGAGGCCATAGTGGTACCTTAGGATCATGCTGGCACCTGGAGACATGGTGGCTTCTAACCCTAGGCTACAGCTGTGGCTTTGCTGCAGTCAAGGTCTGTGTTGATATCCATGGCTCCTGGTACCATTGAAGGCTGTGTAGATGCATGAGGTCTACATCACTTGGAGCCGTGTTGAGGAGCACCTTGCAGGCAAGGTGATGCCTATCAGAAAAGCCTAAGCAATCAAGTGGGGCCGTGGTGACATCTGAGCCTGAAAGCCTGCTGGGGACCATGTCAGAGTCCATGGTCCTACAACAGCCAGGACCTATGTTGATGTCCTTTGCCCGCATTTCCACCAAAGGCCACAAGGATGCCCAGCTTCCTTGTTGATCCTTGTGACCATGTTGGGGTCTGAGGGATGTACAGATGATAGGATCATGCTGGCCTGAGTGGCAGCACTGCCACTTGTGGAAATGGAGTTTCCCAGAACCAGGCTGATGCCAAGAGACATGTCTGAATCCATTGCCCCATAGCAGCTGGAGTCTGTGTTGTTGTCCATGGTTCAGGTTACCACCAAAGTCAGGAAGACACCTGAGGCTATGTTACTGCCTAAGGATCATGCTGCCAGTGAGGCCCTGCAGATCAGGGTGGCTTGTACTGCCACCTGGGGCCATGCTGTTTTCTGGGTCTGAGCTGTGCATGGGGGCCATGTCTGGGTCTCTGGACCTATAGTAGCCAGGGTCTTTGTTGAGATCTATGGCTTCTGTTGCCATCAGGGACTGTGTGACTGCTCGGGTTATCCATCTCCACATGTAAACACGTTCAAATCCAGAATCCACACTGCTGCTAGGCACAGGCCAATCTGAGAGGCATATGCAGCTACCCATGTACACAAAGATATCAAGCCCAAGCTCCTACTGATGATCATATCTGGGTCCATGGCCTTGCCACAGCTGAGATCTGTGTTGAAGAACATTGCCTGTGTTAAACCACCTTTACAATAGGAATAAATAATATAAAATATCTTGGGGTAACTCTAAGCAAAAAAGAAGTGAATGGTCTGTATGACAAGAACTTTAAGTCTTTGAAGAAAGAAATTGGAGAAAATAGCAAAAAATGGAAAGATCTCCCATGCTCAAGCATCAGTTGGATTAACACAGAAATGTCAACCTTACCAAAACAATCTACAGATTCAATGCAATCCCCATTGAAATTCCAACAAAATTCTTTGCAGACCTTGAAATAGCAATACTCAACTTCATATGAAAAAACAAAAAACCCAGGATTGCTAAAATAATCCTGTACAATAAAGGAACTACCAGGCATATCACCATCATTTTTCATATAACTACTTGACATCTTTAGAAAAATGCACATTCAAGTCCTTTACTAACTTTTAAATTGCTACATATACTTTTATTTCATTTTTGTATGTAAATTTAATGTTAATAATTTACCAGATAAATAGCTTTCAAATATATTGCCCTCTTCTATAAGTTGTCTTCTACTTTTCTAACCATATTGCTTGTTGTGTAAATTTGCTTTTTTAGTTTATGATGTTGTCACTTACTTATCTCTGTTTGTCCTGTACTTTTGATGTAAATAGTAAATAAGCAAAACATTGCCAAACCTAGTATCAAAAAGCTGCCTCTGAAGAGGAGTAAAGTCTAAAATTATCTTTGGGTATAAGGATAAATATTTAGAATGAGGCTAGGAATTATGCTATTCTTCTCTAAGATCCATGACCTTAATAACCACTGGTTGTTGTCTGGGCTTACAGACACAGTTTTTCTCATTAAGTTCAAATAGACAGCTGTTTTTTGGTTACCACCAAAGTATGAGTGCCATGATGGTCATTACTGTGCTTCATAGGCATCACAACTAGGTAGGACTATTTGTTGCCCACCCCCTTGGCAGTTCGTATAGAACTTCCTGGTACTATGAAAACAAAAAGCAAATACTTTGCTCCTCTGTCTTTACTTTCCCATCACTTTTTCATTTGTCTTAGTGGTATCAGGAGCTGTGGTATAACATGTAATATACACTTCTATCCAAACAGCATTCTTTACAAATGTGCATTATATAATGTATTGTTGGGTCAGGTTCAAGTCATCTGTCCTCCAAAACACCATCAACAATGGATCCCCAAAGAAACTACATGGACATCACACCGTTGGCCCAAGCCATGTAGACCGAGCAATTGTGGTTCTGTAGGCTCAGTCCCTTCACACACCCCAGCAGGTCAGAGATTTTGTGCCAACTCAAAGCCCTGGATGTACACATGGGTGGTTGCTGAGTTTATCACTCCAAGCTGTTGGTACCACTCCTGTCATGTGAAGGGTGGAGCCAACTCTCTCATACTTATGGTGAGTACAGGGCCATTTTTATCATGTTGGGATGCTGGAGTTGTTGGGTATTGTTTCTCTGATTTTTTTCTTAGACCATGTATCATTTGTATAAAGGAGGGCTACTGATATTCTTGAGTTAATCATGTATCCAGCCATATCACTGGAGGTGTTTATCAACTGTAACAATTCCCTGTTAGAATTTTTGGATTTAACATTTTCTTTGACTGATGAATGTTTTTCCTCTACTGTATTTTCAACTCCTGAGATTTGCACTTCCATCTCTTGTATTCTGTTGGTGATGCTTGCATCTGTATTACTTGTTTATTTTTTCAGATTTTCCATTTCCAGTATGACTGCACTTTGTGTTTTATTTACTGACTCTATTCCAATTTTGTGTCTTGAACCATTTCTTTCACCTGTTTGTTTTTTCTTTTCTTTCCTTAAGGTATTTATGACTTTCTTACAATTATTTTTGTTTGTCTTTTCCTAGGTTTCTTTGAGGAAATTTTTAATTTCCTCTTTAAGGGCCTCTGTCATCTTCATTAAGTTGTTTTCAAGGTCATTTTCTTGTGCTTCATCTGCTTTGAAATGTTCAAGTCTTGCTGCCGTGCAATGACTGGGTTCTGATGGTTCCCCATTGCCATTTCTTCTTCCAGCTGGTATGGGTTCTGCCTGTGCTTACGGAGTCTGCTGGAGTTTCAGGGGAGGGCTGGCTATGTGAAGGATGATGAGGTGGATGGGGTTAGGCAGTGGACTAGATTTTTGGGGAACAGAATCCAGTTTGGGTGGCAGTGGTAGTGTATCCTACAGGTAAATCTCTCACAGGTTGTTGGCTGCTGGGGACTGCACCAGAGCAGTGAAGCTACACAATAGTTGGGGACAGGGCCCAGCTGCCTTGCTGGTGCTGAGATGGGTGTAGGGGAGAACACAGGGAGGGATGTTGGGGCTTACAGTCTAGAGGTTGATGCAGTTCAGCTGAAAGGCCAGTCACTCACCTGTTCTTCCAACTTTTGAGGGTTGTGCCTTTGCATATTGAGTCTGCTGAAATTTTGGGTGAGAGCTCTCCATGGGTAGCATGATGAAGTACATGGAATTGAGCAACTGTGTGGGTCTTGGGGGTACAGAATCCTGTGAGTAGAGGTGGTGGTGGTACAGCCTGCAGGCAGATCTCTCATGTCCTGCCCAGCTGCTGGGGTCTACCCAATTCCACTTTAATGCTTTAAATAAGAAAAGGTTTTTGTTCATTTGTTTGTTGTTTTATTTATATGCAGGGAATATGCCCAAACTTCTTCTGAATGAGACATAAAAGTTGGAAGATCGAGTAAGGGGAAAAATAGAGGAGAGCAAGAAAAGAGATACCATAATAGAGGGAACCATTATAGGTTGAAAGAGAAATCTGGCACTAGGGAAATGTCCAGAGATCTACAAGGTTGACCACAACTGACAATCTAAGCAATAGTCAGGAGACTACCCTAAATGCCCTCTACCGATAATGAGATTGATGACTACCTTAGATGCCATCCCAGAGCCTTCATCCAGTAGCTGATGGAAGCAGAAGCAGACACCCACAGCTAAACAATGAGCTGAACTCTGGAATCCAGTTGTAAAGAGGGAGGAGTGATGCGTAAAGGGGTCAAAACCAGGCTGGAGAAACCCACAGAAACAGCTGATCTGAACAAGGGGGAGCTTATGGATCACAGACTGAGAGCCAGGTAATCAGCATAGGACTGTTCCAGACCCCCCTGAATGAGGAAGTCAGTTTGGAGGTCTGGTTAATCTATGGATCTCTAGTAGTGGATCATTATTTATCCCTAGTACACTAATGGACTTTGGGAGCCCACTCCACATAGAGGGATACTCTCTCACCCTAGAAACATAGGAGAGGGTCTAGGCCCTGCTCCAATTGATATGAGAGACTTTGAAGATCCCCTATGGAAGGCATCACACTCGCTGAGGAGCAGCAAGGGGATGGGATAGCAGGTTGGTGGGGGACAGGGGAAGAGGAGAGGGATGGAGGGAACTGGGATTGACATGTAAAACAAGCTTGTTTCTATTTTAAATGAAAAAGAAAAAAGTTTAAGAATACATAATTTTGATTATTTGGAATTTTTAGGAAAAATATTAATGCAAAATTATACTAACTCATGTAAAAACTCATACAACTTTCCATAAATAATAAAAAATATTTTTGGATTTTGTGAAGTGTTAATAACTCCTATTTACAATACTTTTCATAAAAACAGTGGCATTTATTAAAAATAAAACATATATTATCACTCTGTTTTCCTGATAAAAGGAACACTGGTATGACTTCTAAAATTATTGGATTTTTGTACTGCTGGTGTAGAACACAATATGTGCTCATCAAACACTCAACTACTGAGTCAACTACTCATCCTTAATCCAACATAGTAAATGACAATATTTTCTTCAAAAAGGCAAACAAAATAATTAATATTAAGAATAAAAAGCAAGCCGGGCAGTGGTGGAGCACGCCTTTAATCCCAGCACTCGGGAGGCAGAGGCAGGCGGATCTCTGTGAATTCGAGGCTGGGCTGGACCGATAGCCTCCAAAACAATACAGAGAAACCCTGTCTCGAAAAACCAAAAAAAAAGAATAAAAAGCAAAAGCTTGTTATTATAAATCCTGTGATTCAATTTCAAGCTAGAATTTATAAATATGTGAATTTATATGAAGTTTGTTTTGTTTTATATCATTTATATCTCATTTGGACTCAGTTTCAAATCCTAAAATACGGGGTAGTTGGACTGGGTTGTCTCTATGGAACTTTAAGTTCTGCAATACAATGAATAGGTTATAAATATTTAACTTCAGTTTCTGAGTCATCTGTATAAATAGTTTCAAAAACAAGCTTTGCAGCAGGAAACATTTCCCTACCATAGCAACTACTCTGGGATCATGTTACATTGTGACACAGCAGAGCTAGAAGTTTCCA